GGGCAGACGTCACAATTGCGCTGCGCAGTGGAGGCCAAAAAATGGGAACACGATTGTAGTGCCTAGTTAATACCTTTTAAAATCCTTTTTTCTCTTGAAAATTTTGGTCCATTTTGGAGATTTTTGGGCTGGAAGGCACAGGTAGGGTCTAAACTTTCCTACATTGGTCAAGTTTTGTTTATTTCACCAGTTTAGTGGGCGTAGTGAGAGATGTGAGTGGTTAGGTCTTGTCTGGCCAGGCGGATGGATACCAAGGAAAAAGTAGGTCAAAGTTGAGGTTTGTTTACTATCATCAGCTGTGGTGGGAATTTGAAGTGGTCGACCCCCTGTTTTCTTTCTATATGTGGGAAGCAGACCCTTGTGGCTACCTGGTGCAGAAGAATTTTTTGAGATTGGAGTGTGGGTAAGTACTTTCATGAGGTGTTGAAATAGTGTATTTAAGCATGTGTTCCTATGGCAAGATCTAATAGTACTGTCTGCCCCAGAATTCTGAACTGCCCCCCCCCCCTCAGCATAGCTGTTTCTAAACGACTTTTCTATGCAAATTCCTTCCGTTTTTTTATCTAAAACACATGGACAAACACTTGGACATTCCTTCTGACAACTTTATTCAGATCAGTTTCACAAATTTCGACACTTTCAACGACTTTTTGCGCCCGAAATGGCAGAAAGGGACTGGAGAAGAGAATACTCATCTAAAATACAACGTAGGCTACGCAAACATTCCACAAAATCATGCAATATATGGCAGGGAGCCAAAGTTACTAGGAGTCAAGTCCTTTACGGCATCATTTCTGTCTCTTGGTTTCCCGGGAGAGTTTTTCGCAGGCCAAGCAAGTGGACAGTCCACCGTGTGTTCTTCATGGCTGTGACAGGCAGGCTGGACCTGGGAAGACTGGATGTTTCTCACCGCTGCCATACGTCACTGTGTGTTAATATTGACCATTTGTCTGCTGAACCGCACTCTGTAAACAATTCCAGGCAAAGGTGCAGATTTAACCGCGTTTGTCGGAAGCACCCTGGGTACCCTGACTGTATCTTTGAGGACTGAGGTAGGGGTGTACTTTTAGTTGTCCTCCTCACCAGACCACTGTGACTCCTTCTTCTTTTTGGACCAGGTTGGTAGGGATTCACCATCCATCCTGCTGTATACATGATCCTGTTTACCCCTCTGCTGCTTGTTGGAAACTCTCCTTTTCTTTGGCTCGCTTGGACCAGCTTTTTCGTCCCTCTTCCTCTTCCTCACCTTTGCTCTTGTAGTGTCCTATGTCTTTGGTCTTCATTATATGTTTGGAATTCTTTCACCCTGTTGGTTTTGCGACGACTCCTTCTAGCAGGTTCTTTGTGGTAGGCTCTCTTGTAAGTTTCGATTTTGTCCATTGCTCGTAGGGCGGTGACTGCTGGTGACCTCGGAGACAGCGGTATCCCGGCTGCCTGGCGCTTCATCAGGATAGACAGAGCTGTCCCGTTGTTGGCACTGTGAACAGCTGACGCGTAGTGACCAGCCAAGGTTGTAGTCAAGGTACGATTCTTTGGAACACTTTTAGAGTACTGACGATTTGCAGATTCCGCACGATTCGTGTTAAGACCAAATCTTGTGGCTTCTAGAACCTCAGGGTCCAGCCTCTTTCCTATGATAGTCCTCAACTCTTCCCTGTCTGCCTCGTCAGGGCAGATGAGTTCTTTTGTGCCATGAGGAAAGAAACTGAAGCCCCACACCTTACTGCTTCCACTGCATACAAGTGACTGAGTCCTACACAGGGTGTGGTCTCCATCTAAGTAGCAATTCACTATGGCATCTGATGCTTTGTTCATGGCCTCTTCCATCCTCTCCTTGTTCTTGCCATATTTCTCGCGTGCCTGCCGGTGCTCTGCTTCTAGACGTAGTTTAAGGTCATCCCCAAACCTGTTCTTTACTTGCATCCTCTCCGCCCGAGTTTTTCCTGGCCACATGTGGGCACTCCATGTAGCCTTTGTCACTGCCCTGGCAATACTTCTGGACAGGTGGATATTGTCAGACAAGGACTTTGTGGGCTCACCTGTTTCCTCTTCCATCACCTCAGACATTCCCTTGAAGATATGTCCATCTCCATCATGTACAAGGTGAGACACCCTGATGTTATTCTCGACAAGTTTCTTTCCCATCTCACGGCCTAGTGCTGCCTCATCCCCTATCACAACATGCTTGGCGATGTTTGCTGAACAATTGTGGCTCCTCTTCACTCCTCGACCCACGTGCCCTAGGTTGCACTTCGCACATTGTTTGTTTCTGAGATATGTTGCCAGGATTTTTTTCATGTTAGTCTCATTTTCCGCAAAGGTTGCAAAGGCATGGGATGATGGCTGGCCCGGCCTACGTCCTCTTCCGGAATTGAGGGCGCTTTGGAACCTCACATCCCCCTCCCCTTGATTGGCCTGTCTGCTGGTTTTCCTGTGACTTCATTGGTCCCCAACACGATCTCCCCCATCTCTTCATGTCCTTGTCGTTCTCCTCCACAATGATTTCTGCATATCGGTTCGCCATCTTCTGCATGCCAGACAGGCTGGGTACTGGTAAATCTAGAGTGGCAGCGATCTCCATAAAGTTCTTTGGTCCTATTGGGTTATTGAATAGTGCTATTTGTAATGCCATGTTTGGGCTGCTAGTTTCTTGCCTCTCTTCCCCGTCTCCACCTCCTCATAGCACTTATATGATTGTGAAACGTACTCACAGGCGTTGCAGACGAAAGTTTCCGAGGACACAATTCCCCTCGTCTCCTCTCTCTTCGCTGATGCGTAGATGAGCTTCCTACAAGAAGACCTGTCGTCATGCTGTCTCTGGGCGGTGGCGCAAGCCATCATGGCAGCATGTCCCAGCCAGTACCTGTACCCGGAAATAGTGTCATCTTCTTCATCTTCTTCATCCCTCCCATCCTCGTCTTCCTCTATGCCCAGGATCCTGTCCATCTTGCTCGGTTCCTTCTTGGGGCGAAGCAGAGGAGGTCGACTTTCCTCCACGGCTATCCTGGCGAGGTCTTCAATTGGTTCTCCTTGTCTGTCTGTATTCACCAGAAGATGATATTGTTCTTCTGTTGGTCTCTGGTAGGTGGGTGGATCCGGCTGTGTTTCACGATGCATCTTCTGGCCACGGTTCCATGGTGTGTGTCCTTTCTTGAACTGGGAGCTCTGACGGTTCTTCGATCCTCGCGGCATGATGAAGTCTGACTTGCTTGGAGAGGGCTACTCAAGTTTATAGGGGGCTTGACAGGGCCTGGGGGTGGGTAATGAATTGCCCCAGGGCCCCCCAGGGGGGAGAGGGAGTTGTGAGGTCACCATTCCAGGAAGGCACAGGAAGTGGACATGCAATGGGGATATTCCTGTCATTTTCCTGTCATTTCCAACGTTCCTTCAGATTTCCAGGAACCACAGTAACTCAGGTGTGTGTCAGGACCACGAGTAGGGCTCATCTTTCTATTAAAGTGAACTTTGATGGCTAAAAAATTCATAGAAGTGTAGAGAAGTGGTTTGACCTACTTTTGAGGACAAAACTTTTAAAGGCCTACAAATGTTACGAAAGTGGTGTGCAAACTTAAAATACATGGTGGCTTTTTATGCTCAGTCTTTTCACCTTTATTGAAATGTATCAGGTTTTGACATTTAAGCTCTCAAATCTGAAGAAAATGGTGCTACTGTGTGTGTATCACAGGCAGTGCATACACAGCCAGGCCCATGATGGCTGCCTCCTGGCCCTGTCAGACACCTGTTAGAGTTATGGCTCCCATATGCTTATTATCTGTCAGAAAGCTTTGATACTTTCAGATGTGTCTTAGAAGTCTTTCCCCTTAAGTGTGATGTGTTGAAAACGGTTATTCTAGGTATTCTTCTCTACCAGAAGGGCAGACGTCACAATTGCGCTGCGCAGTGGAGGCCAAAAAATGGGAACACGATTGTAGTGCCTAGTTAATACCTTTTAAAATCCTTTTTTCTCTTGAAAATTTTGGTCCATTTTGGAGATTTTTGGGCTGGAAGGCACAGGTAGGGTCTAAACTTTCCTACATTGGTCAAGTTTTGTTTATTTCACCAGTTTAGTGGGCGTAGTGAGAGATGTGAGTGGTTAGGTCTTGTCTGGCCAGGCGGATGGATACCAAGGAAAAAGTAGGTCAAAGTTGAGGTTTGTTTACTATCATCAGCTGTGGTGGGAATTTGAAGTGGTCGACCCCCTGTTTTCTTTCTATATGTGGGAAGCAGACCCTTGTGGCTACCTGGTGCAGAAGAATTTTTGAGATTGGAGTGTGGGTAAGTACTTTCATGAGGTGTTGAAATAGTGTATTTAAGCATGTGTTCCTATGGCAAGATCTAATAGTACTGTCTGCCCTTTT